GGGAAAAAATTGATTCAGTTAGTAGTTCTAGCTAATCTGAATGTATGGGCTTGGTGGATAAGATATCAAGACAAACCCATCTTAGGTTTCCAGGCTCACAAGAAAGTAAGTCTACTAAATACACAAGATCTACCAATATCTTCTTGGCATGTTTTCAAAGGATACTACTTCCTAAAATGATGTTCTCCTTGAAGAACTCTCCTCTGCTATTCCTAGGAATACTAGTGCTTATCAATTGTATGTCACATTATGATTTCTTAAGAATTTTAATTTACTTGAGTCACATAACATCTTTGTGAGATATAAACAGAATAAATAGAACTTCTCCCATTTCACAGATGAATAAATTAAGTCACAGATGGAATAAATAAATCACCCAAAATCACACAGTAGGTTCATGGCAGAATCACAACTAACATAAGTCAAGAGTTTGAGTAATTGGTGTAACAATTGTTTGAATTCACCAAGAACTCAGTTGAAAATATGCTGATGTTAATAGTGAAAGGTCGTGGTAATTAAATGATGATCACTCCATTGACTTTAAGGATAAGGTAAGTTCTATAGTTGATTCTTTTCCTGGTAGCGTATTAAAATAAAATAAAATAAATAAACAAAATTAAAATTCATTCAAGAAATATTTAATTGAGTGCTTACTATGTGCCACGCACTGTTCTAGATGCTTGGGAACCAAACAACAAAACAGGCAAAAAATTCCTAACCTCAGTGAGCCTACATTCCAGCAAAAAAGATAAAAATAAACAATTGACATATGGTAATAAATAAATAAATAATCGTATACATTAAAAGACAATACATGGTAAGGAAAAAAAGAAAAAATGAAGCTGGGTAAGGGGGTTGAGAATTGCTAAGAAGTAGACAGGTTGTAGTATTTATTTGGTTGGTCAGGGTAGGCCTCATTGAGAAGGTGAGATCAGTGGATACGCAGGAAAGAGGAACAGCCAGGGGAAAAGCTCCAAGGAGTATCCTGGTGTGTTCAAAGAACAGAAAGGAAGCCAGTGTGACTGCAGCAGTGTTAGCAAGAAGGAGAGTTGTGTGAGGCGAGGTCAAAGAATCAGGAGACAGATCACGCAGGGCCTTGGAGGCCACCACGGGAAATCTGGTTCTTATTCTGAATGAAGTAGAAAACATTGTAGGGTTTTGAGCAATTGAGTGGCATGATCTGACTTAAATTTTAAAGAGGATCAATTATTAATCATTAATACTTTAAAATTTTATCACTCAATATATTGTATAGCCTTTGTCATATATATGAATCCCAATCTACCCTTCTCCTCTCAGAATAAAATACTATTATTCTCATATTCCCACAGAAAATACCAAAGCCCAGAATGTCTAAGTAATTTATGTAGGGTAAGATCTAGTAAGTGGCAGAGCCAGGTGAAAAGCACAATTTTTCTAACTCATAGTCCAAAACTGATTGCGCTTTCTGATATACTCATTTATATTAAAGTTATAAAGGAAAGAAAATAATAATTGAGATTAATTTTCCAGATTATTCATCAATAGAGATGTTCAGTTTGAAGTATTAAAATTGAATCAAACTCATTTTTTCCTTACTGTTAATTTCTGGGACATAATGATACAAGTAATTTCCCTGAACTTTCTATTTGAAATGACAAATGAACATTTAGGCTAAGAATTTTGGATGCAGAAGTAATCATAATAATAATTTAAATTTACAACAGTACATTTAGAAAGTTTTTCAAAGTCTTTTAGTTATGGCTATTTATGACTTCTCTACTATACGCCAGTCACTGTGCTAAATTCTTTGCATATGTCGCTGTACTTAACATTCATCAAAAACTCTAAGAATAGTATTAGTAATCCCATTTTATACATTACAAATGTGGACCCAGAGAGGCTAAGAACTGAAAGGTCACAGGACTGCTCAGGACCAGAGCTCAGATTTTACCTAAATTTCCAGTCTAATGTCAGGTTCTCTTCAGTAAGCCACACTACCTTCCTGGAGCACGATGCTCAGCATATCACCCCAACATTCCTAACTAAAAGGTCAGCCAGATGTGAGTAGCTGCATTTTACAGATGACTAACTGCTCATGGAAAAGTTAATCAAGCAATCAGCATTTATTTTATGGCCACAATATGCAAATCAATATTTAGTTGCTGAGAGCACAGAGGATTTATGATACAGTATCTTGCCTCAATGAGCTCACAATCTTGTTAAGGTAACACGAGACATATAAAAAGGTAATAAATAACCCAAGATAGCACATAATAAGTACCTAATGAGATATAGAGCCAACAACCACTTAAGAAATTCAACAGAGAGAAAATTGAATCTGGGTGCTTCAATTCAGTTAAGAAAGTTTGTCACTAAAGAGAACTAGTGTTGAGGTGATCTTCACAGGAAAGGTAGGTAGGGTTTAGATAAGCAGAGAAGAAGAGGAAAAATAATTCCAGTGAGAGGGGATAATATGACCAAAGGCCAAGGGAGAGATTATCAACAGAAAATGAATAGATGCATTTGAAGTGCAGGACAAAGGGGAGGCAAAGTGAAAATGAAGCCAGAGAAGTAGATTGTAGAAAACCTCCTCCTAAGGGAGGAGGGAAGAAACAGATCTTTGCTGAATTGTTGGTGTGCAGTACCTGGTTTGTGTACATTTTTTGTTTATGTAATCCTCTCAACAACCTTATCAGGTAAAAAGGTAGATATATCATGGCCATTTTATTATTATTAGTTTTTTTGCTGAGGAAGATTAGCCCTGAGCTAACATTTGTGTCAATCTTTCTCCACTTTACATGTGGGCTGCCGCCACATCATAGCTGATGAGTGGTGTAGGTCTGTGCCTGGGATCCAAACACATGAACCTGCGAACCCGCAAACCCGGGCCGCCAAAACGGAGCAAGCAAAACTTAACCACTAAGTCACAGGGTGGAGTCCATCATGGCCATTTTAAATGAAGGGAAACAGAGATTACCTGGCTGAGGCGTAGCTTTGTGTGTGGATGGAGCAGAAATTCCAATCTATATCTATCTGCCTCCAAGGCCTATATTCCTTCCACTACTCCTCACTGCCCCATCTCCCGAAGGCAATGGGCAGTCACTGAAGGTATCCACTCTCTTCTCTTGAAGAGAGTGACCTATGAAAAGCACTATAAGAATAAAAGAAGACTAATCTGACTGTAAGATATCGGCATATGTCCAACAGCAGAGAAGGACTGGAGAAGGGCCATGCAGTCTACCGCATTAACCCAAATAATATGGTGACGAGGATGAATATTCGAGTTCTGACAATGGAAGTAAAAAAGAATGTAAGAGATATTACAAAAGAAATATAAAGAGATAAATGGCAATACCCACAGCCTGCAAAAGGTAGTTTCTACTACCCAACCATATACCCAGTGTGTAAATATTTCTCCTAAAACTGCAGAGACAAAATCCAGTATAGCTCAAATATTTTAAGTTTTTTGACAGCACATGATTTATTTAAAAACAATAAAATCTATGGCTTAGGAAAAATATCTGCTTTAATGCAATCTACGTCTCAAACCACCATTATGCATTACGACAGCCTTATGCTCTGCATACTTCTATTACATGTTTGGCAATAACTCATTGCCATATATGCTAACATGGACAGTAATTCCTTATATTCATGCTCATTAGACATATTAATTACTAAGGAAATATTCTTTTACCTCTAGTTTTTCCTTTTAGAAACCCAAGTATATATTAAACAATTGAATTCTCTCTGAGAGATATAATGTGTCATATTTCTGAACATTATTCCTCCTCTGCACTTCTCTCTTAAAATGCGAGGTACCACTCAGGATTCAGGTCAAAAACTAATAGCAATTAAATGGCATACTATTTAAAAACAAGTTGGCTCTTTTCTGACTTTTACTCCCGGACAATGCAAACCATACAACTGTTAAATATATAGAGAATTAACAACCACCTATATTTTTCAAAGAAAGTATTCACATAAACACCAGGCCTTTCAGTCAATAAACATCTTTTCAAGCAACTTAATAGTTGCAAAGTTGCCAACCTGGTAATAACCAGGCTAACTATATAAACCTTTGATTAGTATCAAGTCTTCAACTAATTTGTCTTAATTTTGAATTAATTGTGAAATTGAACATCCTAATAAGTATAACATACATGTGATAAATGTGTGCAAGTGGATATACACGTACTTATCTCACACTAGAATTGATGAGTAACAATATTTGACTCAGAATCCTTTTAGGAATTACACACCTACCCTACTTTCACCTAATCTCCTTAATATCACCCAGATATGCTGTAGGATAATTAAAATCTAACATATTAGCCAAGCCTAATTTTCTTTACCTTTACTGACTAAAAAAACATTTGTTCTTCTGGGTTGAAAAAGAATGTTTAAATTTGAAATCAAACTGCCATGGCCCAATAAATTTAGGCCTACAGCTAACATATATCTAAAATGTCTTTGAAAGTTTCAAGAATGCCAAACCTGTGCTGTATTTTAGAAATGTCACATGCATGTGTAAAGAAATATCATCAAAGAATCCTAAAAAGCATACTTGTTGAAATACAATCCAGATAGTCTTTAATTTTTTTATGTTCCTCATTTCTGCATATCTCTACTGATGTGAAAATAGGCATCTGTAAAACGTGATGAAGGAAACCCCAATACTACACAAGCATATCTGCCCAATAATGCTATGCTTTAACATACTTTAAGTTTGAAAAACTTAGCCATTATAAATATAAACTAATTTAAAAACTATTCATGCAGAAAGTCTAGGCTCTTATGATGTTAAGCGTTCTATAAAAGATATGTTAAATACATTATGTGTGTATAAAAGGAATCACACATAATGTTTATTTCCATATACCTTACTTTCTATTATGCAGGGTTTTTAAACACATGGCAATGCATTCATATATAAAATGTATTAAAATATGAATATTAACCTTAACTTTTAAAGGCATTATTTTGTGAGAGTTTAAAAAAAGTAAAACTATTTTTACCTCCCAGTCCTGGTCTAAGTCGATTATCGTAACCATCCAGAAGTCTGTCTAGAATTCTTGTAAAGATGGTAATGTTATTTTTAGCCTCATCTTCTTGGATGTTAGCCAGCACCAACCTAAAGAGATAATTTTACAAGCTGATATATATACATATGTGTGTTTTGCAAGTGCCAACATGCTCTTCTGCCCTGAATTGAATTTTAAGATTTCCTAAATTATTAGTGCCACCCGTTTTCCTCTTTTTTTTTCACTTCTATAAATACCAGTGTGTCTATGGGGAAGGTAAACATGCTGTTGAAAATTGATACTAAATACTAGATTATCAGAAAGTTTGGTGTCAAAATTATTTCAGATTTCTACCACTTAGCATTGTGTATGCACTAGTCATTTTTTTCTATAGTCCATTCCCTAGAATATATTATGATTGTAGATGATCACATGCAGACACTATTAGTAATGTTATTCTGCACTTAAAAAGGTACAGTAACCAAAGGGACTCCTGAAATGATTCTTCAATGATTTGAATATTAATTGGAAAATAAATTGCCTCCTTGGAGGCACAAAATTTCTCTACCTTCCTCATAAATGTCTTTCTTTTTCTCTTTATGTCTTTTTGTCTTTTAAACCAAGACTATTTCCTTACTTTGGGTATACCTCCACCCAATGGCCAAGCGCAATATAGACATCAGGGAATCTCCGCTGGCTGTGATCCAGGCTCCACTGTAGCCAGGAGGTGGAGGTGGGCTCTGAAAGGTTCAGCAGCTCACACACAGCTGCAGACAGCCTTGGAGGACTACCCCTCCTGACTGATCTCAGAGGAGAACCATAGGGGTCACCTAAAGATTAACAGGCTCAGTTACTTTTGCATGTGTGAGAAATTTGCGGAAAGAACAAATGCACTTAAAATATCGCCAGAAGAGGGTTAGAAACAGTGATTTTCTCCATTATTTCTCCATCAGAAAGCCAGAGACCTGATTTTGTGACATCCAGCAATTTGGTGCAGAAGCAAGTGGATGTATAAAACAGAATGTCCCTCTTCACTGTCATTTTTTTTTTCCCCCAGAATGATTCAGAGATTTAAATTACTGGCCCAAAAAAAGAATCATTTATATAATAGAATAAAATACTGGCATGAGCACTCCTGGTCAAATATAGAACAGAAAACTAGTAGAGCAAAATATGGCTAATCACTGAGGATTTTCAATGATTATTAATTGACTATAGTTTGTTCATGCCTTTAAAATCAAAGATTACATGAAATTGCATTCTGATCAAGGTATATCATGTAAAATAACATTGACAGAGTCCATTTGCATTTAAATGATTACACAGCTAGCAGCTAAAATTAGTCATAATACATCAAAAAATTGCTAACCAACTTCAAACAAATATTCTCTTGAGAGCAGAAAAAATATTAAAACATTGATATGAAGATAAACATTTAAAAATTATGTTAGCAAATTAGTTCATACCTTCCAGCCTCAAGTTTCTATATTGTCTTAAGCTAATTTTAAAACCAATCACTAACACAGTTATAAAGTTCCACACAGAGATTTTCACTCAAAAGTGTTTTTTAATCACGTCACGTTTTCTTTCTAAATTCAATATTAAGATGTTAAATGAGGAGATATTTTCCAATTAAAAACAAGGCTTTGTAAAGAGACTTCTTTTCAATTCTAGAAAATATTTTCATACTTTGACAAATACTTGGATAGGAAAATGAAAAATGAAAAGGGAAATAAAGGTATAATAAAGACATTGTTTTTTAAAAAAGGAATGGTTACATGAACATTCTTATGAATTTTGTATTTTAAGTCCTCTGGTGTTTTGAAAACTATATCTTAAAGGCAATAGATAAAAGATGTGCATTAACGATAAAAATCAGAAAAAAGAAACTATAAGATGAAGTTATTGAAAGCAATAAAAACTAATTTCATGTCTGTAGAACATAGGCAAAACAAAAAATTACCTGTTTAAAATAAGTACCCTTTATGACAGTAACCATTTTTGGAATAAAAGATCTCTAAATCAATAATATGAAAAGTTGACCAATAAATCAAGCTTTTGTTTTATTGTTTGTGATTGTGAAGTTGTATACTATCTCCACCTAGAGGTTTAAGACTTACACGTCATTTGGGTTTTCTATGTTGATTAAAAGAGCCAAGACCACAAAAATAAAAGAAAAGAATTAAGCTAATACTCAAATCATTTTAGTTTGTGCTTTTCTGTTTGGTTTAAAGGAAAACTATTGGTTTCTTTACTGAATTTTGGTGTTATTATAAGTGCATATAACTTAACCATTTCAATTCCTTGCTAGAATATGCCATTCAAAGGCTATTCTTTTCTTCAGTGGTTTTTTGGTTTTTTTTTTTTTTTAAATGTTTCTGTTCACTTTGGTATTTTATGGCTAAAAACAAGAAGCAGTGAACTTTTTCATAGTCTCTGTTACTTCATAATTCAGTTTCCTAGTACAGCCTTTTTTCATTAGAAATAATTTTTCAAAATACTCCAGCTTCTTAAAAGCCAGCCCTGCATTGATGGCATTCAAGAAACACACCTTTACCCTGAATTAAAAGAGTCAAATACAATCAATGTCTCACCTGGCTGGGTCCCACACCAAGAAAACAAGAAGGAGCAACTGCATGTTGTAGATGTTCAATTTCGTGCTCATCACCACTCTTTGTAAAGCCATGGAAGAAAAACAAAATACACTTAAAATTCCATTCAGTCTCACCCCCACATAACCCAAAAGAATGTCATTTCAATTGGGAATTGGAGTTAAAGCTACTCCATAATTGGAGATTATTCCAGTGGAGTGAGGGTAGGGTATGGTGATTGGGGGAGAGTGTTTTTCTTTTCTTTCCTTTTTTTTCTTTTGACATCAAGATGACCAAGTAATCAGACTTTGCTCTGCCAGAAACTTGCCCCAGCTCCATCGTCAGCAAACACTGTTTTGTGCTCACACACACGTAATAATAACACACGGGACTCTGAACTGACATACGAGCTGGAGAAGAGAATGGGTTGGAGGGGAGGATAAAAAGGGGGAGGAGAGATGGGTACTTCATGTCACAATCCCCTCCACCAAGACCACCTCCGAAACCACAGCGGGAAAAGCAAGGGGCGGCCAGCCCACTTTTTCGATTATTCTTTTCATTACAGTGAACTGCCGTCCTCACGTCTTCACTTCTTTACTCTCTCTCAAATGAAATGAAATAAAATAATCTCCCTCCCTGCCCATCCACAGTTGCCCAAGACCACATCTTTGAGGCAACCGGATTCGGATCAACTGCTGCGAAACGACGCGTTTGACAGCTGTTCCGGAGCCGACCACCACGATCCGAGCACGAGCGTGAGGCTCCGGGATCCAGCAGCGGCAGCAGCAGCAACCCCCGTGTGCAAAGTTGAAGACTATAACAGAGCCAGGCGAACGTGCTGCCGGGCGGGCGTCTCGGATCTTATTGTAGTTGCAAATATGCTTCTGGTGATGAGTATCGAAATTATTTTTTAAATGTGCTGGGGAGAAGGGGGTGACCTGAACCTCCTCGGTTTCCAGGGAGCAGCAGAGAATGGGGTGGGGGGAGATGAGGCATGCACGGAAGGCAGAGGCAAATGGGAAAGGGTTCTCTGTGGGACCAACGTGTGCGACCTTACCTGAAACAGCAAGCAGAATTAGGTGTTTTCCTCCTTTGCCCTGATCTTGAGGAGATGGGAAACTTGAGAGAGAGAGAAAAAGAGAACGAGAGAGAGACTGACTGCAGCAGCTGAGCGGGCAGGGAGCGAAGGGCCGGCGGAAGCCGAAGGGAAGCGCGAGGAGCGGCGGCGGCGCGAGGAGTAGAAGGAGGCGAAGGCGTCCGTAGTGGCGGTGACGGGCGGAGGAGGAGGAAGAGGAGGAGGGAGAAGCGTTGGAAGAGCGGGCGGGGTGGGGGGACGCGAGCGGAGGCACCGTGCGCGCAGGCAGTGGCGGGCACGAGCCCTACGCCTGGAGGAGGAGGAGCCAGGCCCGGGAGGAGGGCGAACGAGGTTCCCCGAAACGCAGCGACCCCCCACCCGCACCCCGCCCCGATCTCGGGTAACCGGCTGTCGCCCGCCGGGCACCTGCAGCGGCACAGCCCCAGGCGGCAGCGGGCGCCCCGGTGCGCCCCGAGCGCCGCTCCCCGCGCCCACGCGCCGCCCGGGACTGCTCCCCGCGGCTGCCCGCCGGGCTCCCCGGAGCCCCCGAGGGTCCTGAGGGTCTGCCGGTGGGCGTTGGTGCGGAGTCGGGAATGCAGTGTGTAGGTGCGGCCCTAGATCCCCCGGGCCTCGCCCTGCCCCCCGCCCCCTAACATCCCCAGACTCTGGAGCGACGTGGCTGCCGGGGAGAGGTAAAGAGGTACCAATCCCGCTGGAGGACGAGGGGACTAATCACGCCTTTACTTAGTCGTCAACGTATCCACGCAGGACCAAGTTCAACGCATGTTGCGTGGATCAGACAGCAGGAAGTTTCTTTGATTTCTTGAGCCCTCTTGGTATACCACTCATTTCTTCCCCCTCCTACACGCAGGACCAATTTCCCTCAAAGCTCTAAGCGCTGGAGACTTCCCTCGAGCCGGTCAGTAAAGTCCACTTGCAGATGATACACCTAGAGAAGCCTCCCCCTCCCTCTCAGCAATTCTTTTCCCTAACGTCTTTCCACAGGCGTAGTGATCAAATTCAATCAACAGCTTTAAAAAAGTTTACATTTTCCCGGAGAGAAAAGGGACCTGCTGTGTTTCTACTACCTCTGCAATCCTTTCCCCAGGGGAGAAATGTAGCAGGGTTTGAGGTTTTCCCCCTTTAGGGCTTTTTGCTGGCAAAGAGATCTGTTGTAATTCCAGTCCTATCGTACACTTTGAGCATTGTTGTTTGATCTGTCTCATTTCTCTTCTTTTGTATCTGAGACGATAAAATCTAAACGTGCAATTTGAACAAAAAAGACATTTTCGTTTTTGTACTGCACATGAGACAGTGTTGTTCCCGTCTTACCAAGGCAAAGCAGAGCGTTTTCATCTTTTAAAAAAGTTGTTATAAACGTTAGACACTTTAAAAGGAAAAAAATATAAGTATGCTGATATATTCTTGTCATTTTACATTGAGTCAATATGCGCCAAACACTTCAATTTCGTTAGTTATGAACCAAAAATTCGGATGTTTTTTCCTAGATGGTGCAGTTTTCATAACAACAGCTAATCTACAGTAAATTTTAGCTTTGCTTTGAAGATTATGTGAGGAGAGTAAAATCTTTACGTTGTAAATATTTCAAGCTGTTCTTCTTAACCTATTAATCACCACTTTCTGAATGAGCATTTAATATGCTACAACCTAAACAAACATTTGCTCTGCTATTTAGCTGTCTGTGTGAAGAATAGAACACCACCCAGGTTTCTCCTCCATCATTAATATTCTTTTCCTGACCTGCCCATTGCAGAGTCTAATTGAAATTCAGAAAGATAAAAAGCATGCCATTTAAAACCTTGCACCTAGGGGATCTAAACATCTTCTACTTGGCGTGAACACTGCTCTTGCTACTTTATTTTCCTATTTTCCATTTCTGTGAGTCAATCTTCATTAAGATCTCTATCACTTCACCATTTATGTTACTACTAAATTGTTAATATTTTGATAATGGAACTTGAACAGTGCATGGTTTCTTCCCGACCTTAATTGCTCTGCTCCAACAAAATTTCTCTTTCATGAATGTCACAATTTTTGTGAATATCTTCATGGGTTATTCTCATACTTACCAGTGTAATCTTTTCCCTGGATTCTAATGCTGAATCATGGATTTTAGTTTTAATTGCTTTATCTCAAAATTTGTGTCTATTGGAATGATTTGTTCTAAAAAATTAGCCATACTAAATTGGCACCCTTATTAAATTTGTAATCTCCTTGCTATATGACCCACTTCTATGGAACTTTATAATAAGGTTCAAACTGCTTTGGATGATTTTCATCATCTGCTTTTTTACTTTAATTGTATGGAGGAACAGTCTATATGATTTGGATATGCACCTACTTGATAAAGACTCACATTAAAAACTAGATTTAAGGGCCGGCTCCGTGGCTTAGCGGTCAAGTGCG